GCTGCCTGAGCCGAGAGCTGGGCTGGGCAGGCCTTGGCTGCCTGAGCCGGGAGCTGTGCTGGGCAGGCCTTCGCTGCCTGAGCCATACCTTCAGCCGCTGTTGCTTTGGCAATTTTTCAGATGGAGCCTTGGGTTTTGCCCAGGCTAGCTTCAGGCTGCAATCCTCCTGCATACACCTTCCTGCACTGGAGATGGTGGGCGTAAGCCCCTGTGCCCAGATAAGCATTTGTCACGACCTAATCCAAATAACGAATACCTACCAAAATTAGTTACAAGTGACTTTCTTAAAGTCCTTTGCTGCCTCCAGAAAGGAGGCTGGCTGGGAAGATCGGCCTTGAGGTCCTTGCTACTGGCAAGAACTACTCAGCCGCTTTCCTCAGCAAGCTTCCTCCTGCAGTCAACTCACTGGGAATGGAGGATCGGAGCTGGCTTCAGAGAGTCTGCTTCCAGACAAGCGCAGTGCTTGGTTAAAAGAGCAGAGAACTGTATTATACAGCCATGTCCCCTGCTGGTCCCAAGCAAATGATCAGTAATAGGTAAGTCCCTGTCTCCACCGAGACCTCTGATTGTTGATGGATGGAATTCACTGGGTGGGGGATTAAACCCACAACTAACGAACAGCAGGATTAGAAAAGCCAGTGTTAGTGTCATAGACTGAATTAGGACTCTTAGAAATGAGCGTAGCCGCACAATAACTTGATTGCAGCCTGTCATCCTAGCTTCACAGGAGGCTGAGATCTGAGGATCGCAGGTTGAAGTCAGCCTGGGCAGGAAAGTCCGTGAGGCTTTTATCTCCAATTAATCACAAGAAAAGAAGTGGTGCTGGGGCTTACATGGTAGAGCGCTGGCCCTGAGCACAAAGGAGGCTGAGAGACAGCGCCCAGGCCCAGAGTTTGAGCCACAGGAACAAAAAACAAAAAGGCAGTGGTGCACCACCCCAGGCAGGCGGCTCATGATGACGGGTGCGCTGGTTCCCTCCGGGGAAAGAAGGCTGCGCCAGGTCACCAGACCTGCCCAGCCACTCCAATCAGTGATGTGCCGCACCAGCAGCTTCCCAAGGTGGTGCCCAGGTCGGGCATCATGGTTGATGGATGGTGAGCTCAGAGGGTGAGCTGCACTCTGCCACCTGACATTGCCCAGGCCTGCCACGGTCGGCCGTCTTAGAGCCCTGGCTGCCACTCAGCCAGGCAACATGGCTGAAGGACTGATCTCCCTCCCCCCTCCCTCGCTCCCTCCCTCCCTCC